GTTCAGGTTCATAAATTCAAAGTTCAGTTCAGGTTCAGGTTCAAAGATCTGCAAAATTTGTGGTTCAGGTTCAGGTTTAGTTCAGGTTCATTGAACCTGAACTTGAACTGAACTGAACCTAGAAACCCTACTTCAAATTAAACTGTTAATATTAATAAGAGTTGAAATTATTAACTTACCAAAAATTTTAAATATATATAAGCTTATACGCATATATAGTTCGCTATTGTCAAAATACGTACGTACAGTATATTAATAAAATTTGAAAAATATATATTAGACTGCGCATGTACAGTACGTACAACCAACCTAATCATATTATCCGTATACATATATAATTATATGCTATATATTTCCAAGTATATATACCGATACGTATAAATGTTAAATTTTTAAACTTAAATTATAAAAGTAATTTTATTTTATATGTTTACACTATATCGGGTCCCACCAATGAAATCTTTGAAACCAGGAATTCTAATATAAGCAGTGCGAAACGGCAGTATGAAACGGATTTCTAAACATTTGTACGTAATTCTTTTGATGATTGCTACACAACAAGAATATGTGGTCCATCGTATCGGTATCGATATTAACAGCCTCACTTAGGATTACTCAGCATGTGCACGAGTTCGAGAGAAAGGAGGAAATAATGATTATATTATCAAAAGATCATCAAAAGATCATCAATTAAAATCAGGAATAGATGTACCACGCGAGTTATAGTAACCTTACTAATCAAAAAAAAATATAAATCGAGATGAATTTTGTAATTCCTCTACGTAAAAAAAATCTTTTTTTCTTTAAAATTTTAAATTTTTAAATCAATCATGACCTCAGTTCTTGATCAAATTAAAGCATGGACAACTATCGTTGCTGATTCGGGTGATTTTGAATGTGTGTATTAATATTTTTCAATAAAATTTCTGATTGTAATTTGAATTAATTATTTTTTCTTTTAATCGTTTTATTGTAATTTTTTAAATTAGCAATTGCTCAATATAAACCTCAAGATGCAACAACTAATCCTTCCCTAATTTTGGCTGCCACTAAAAATGTTCATTATACTGGTTTAATTGATTCTGCTATCAAATATGCAAATGATAAAAAAGGGTAATTTTATTATTATCCTCGAACAATTTATGGTTCAAATTAAGAGTCGTCTAATTATTATTATATTTGTTTATCCAGAACTATCGATGAAAAGATTGATTGGGCTGCTGATAAATTGGTAAAATTCTTTCTTATTTTTCACTACTATTAATAAATTAAATTTGTCTAATCTATAATTATTTTTAATATTAATAATATATATATTTATAGTTGATCAATTTTGGCTGCGAAATTCTTAAGATTATTCCTGGTCGTGTATCTACCGAAGTAGATGCTAAACTTTCGTTTAATACCGAAGCGACAATCCACAAAGCTAGACGTCTTATTAAACTTTATGAAGAAGTTGGTATCGATAAGTCGCGCATATTGATCAAGGTTGCTTCAACTTGGGAAGGAATTAAAGCTGCTGAATGCCTTGAAAAAGAAGGAATTCATTGTAATTTGACTTTACTTTTTTCTTTCGCTCAGGTATATATTATTTTTTTTTTTTAAAAAAAAATTTTTTTTACTCAAACTTGTTAAAGTGATTATTAATTTTTATATAGGCTGTAGCATGTGCGGAAGCAGGTGTAACTCTAATTTCCCCCTTTGTTGGTCGAATTCTTGATTGGTACAAAAAGAGTACTGGTCAAACCTACGATGCCAAGAGTGATCCTGGTGTAAAATCTGTAACTAGAATCTATAAATATTATAAACAACATGGATATAAAACTATTGTAATGGGTGCAAGTTTTCGTAATACTGGTGAAATTGAAGAGTTAGCCGGTTGCGATTTCTTAACTATCAGTCCTGCGTTGTTGAAAGAAATGCAAAGTGATTGTAAAAAGATTGAAAGAAAGTTGTCCCCTGATCATTGTATGTGTTTTAATAAGATAATTGGTTGGAATAATGATTTACTGAAATTTTTACTAATATCAATATATCACTTTTTTTTTTTTTTTCTTTTATAATAAAAGGTGATAATGAACCAAAAGTTACTTATGATGAACAATCATTCAGATGGGACCTTAATGAAGATGCAATGGCTACTGAAAAACTTTCTGAAGGCATTAGAAAGTTCGCTGAAGATAACAAGAAGTTGAAGGATGAATTAAAATTACGTTTATCTCAATGTTAAAGTGATCCTAGAAATTTGTTTTTGTAAATTTATTCTCTTAACATATTTATATAGGATCACTTGATATTTAACGGCAATTATAATTATATATATATAGTATATACCTTTTTTTTTTTCATGTAAATTATATTAAATAAAGCTATTCGTAGAAATGGCTTTTAACATGTTCTGAAAAAAGATCAATAAATTTAAGAAAAATTTTATTAAGCTAATGGTTTGAATTATAAAATTTTAATTTTTTTTTTAATACGTAAATGACACTAAGGTGGTATTTTTTTTAAATATTGTAATATATACTATAAAAGACTGTTAATAAAAAAAAATTACCTATACGTATAGGGAAAGTAGGGTATTATGACGCGGGTGAGTAATTTAACGCACTTGTTTTTTGATGATATTCAGAATCGAAAAATTTTAGTACCATTCGATTCGTCTTACTGAGACGAATCAAATAATATAAAAATTTTTTGATTCTAATTGCTAAACCACAAGATATAAGTAAAATTCGATATTACTTATGCCAGTATTAAATTCTTTTAATTTTTATTTTATATATCCTCATTCAGCTAATTCTCACTCTGTATAAATCGATTCGGGGTTATTTCGACTTAGTCGGTCGATTAAAAATAGAATTGATCTTCATTTTATATGTTTGCAAATGGATTAATTCATTTAAGTAGGATTTTGGATCTTAAAACGGACGTAAATAATAATATCGATATTTGAATTATCGTGCAAACAGAGATTTTTTTTTTTGTACGTATATTACATAAGCACAACAATCTCGAATTAAAACTCAGTTACGTAGCCAATAATGACTTGTAAATCAGAATTGCATGATAACATCGATATTGGATCATGCGATGATAATAAAATTTGTTCTGTCGGTGCAATGACCAATACGTATCTTATAATTATTTCTTTGTTCGATTTGATTGGTTAAAGAACATTCTTAGATCGATATTTATATTTTATTATTTAATCGACTAAGTCGATTTTCTTAACATCGATCTCAACTATTAACACTGCTCTAACTCTAACCTTATTTAATTCCAAATCAACTTAAATTCCATTTCCATTTCCACTTATATACAACTTATATATTTTTTAAAAATTGTATAATAATTAGCACATTTAGTTAACCAACAAGAAACGATATTTTATTACCAAAAAAAAAATAATCTCAAAAATTTAAAAAAGTTACAAGGGGATTTGGTACATGTATTTTTAATTCTATTTAGTCAATTTTTATCCCCAAAAGCAATAATTATTATACTGCACATTAACGGCTTGAATCATCAGCAAGCCAAGAATGAAATAATATTACATATTGGGTTAATTGAAAATTACAACTTTATGAAAATTCTCAACTAAAAAATCAATAATAAAATGTACAAATAAAAAAATAATGTTCTATACACAATTGTGCAACCAAAAAATAAATATACGCAACCAAAAATTTACAAAGTCAATATATTAACAAATTTTAAATAGAGGATGTATCTTCTTTAAAAAACGCAGCAGAATCGACACAAATAGTAATCACACCAATTACGATCTCGAACGCTAGAACCAAATTAATCAATTTAGAAAATTAATATTAATACGAAAGTGATTTAATATTTAAAACTTACCGATAAGAATAATTACTATCCATTCGAGTTGTTCGCCTAAATTTTTTGAACCACTTATGTGAATAATACAGAAATTGATAGTTTATGAAAAAAAACATATATGTCACAAACCGTGTGAACTTGTTAAATGTTCTTTAAGCATATCTAGGAGATCACCTGTTATGAAATATGACATTTAGTTCATCCAATTTTGAATTGAGACAAATACATTTAGGGAGAGATAGTACTTATAACAGCCACTCTTTGATTGAGTAGTTCGACTCGTTGAGAGATTTCAAGATAACCTTGTAAAAATAATAATTCATAAGAATAAAATACATTAAAGTAGACTAAAAAAAAAAAATAGTTCCTTACCTCTTATAGCTTCGTATAACGGTTCATAAGCAGGCTCAGACCAAAAAATCTCAGGAGTATCTAAAATATTGCTAACTAAATTGATATTAATTCGCATTATGAACAACTAATATATAAGATAATTTATACAAATAAAATTCGTCGAATTAGCCTTTAAAAGAAAAAAGAAAACAAAAAATATAATATCGAGAGAATCGTTTACCTGACCAATTTTTTTGGTAATGGCGGTTCTAGATAAATTCCAAAGGATAAGGACGAATTACAAAAAGTAATTTAACGATGAAAATATAGATCGATCGACGCAAACCTTGACATAGAGACTTTACCCGTTTCCGCCATTGTTATTGGAATATGTTTTGTAGCTTCAATTGTATCTTCAATTAATCCTTCAAATAAGGTCATTTTGACAGATTGAGCAATCGCGTGAGATATTGTAACTTTCACCATATAATTGCCGGGATGTTTAAGAGTAATCACATCATTATAGATTCTGGGAAAAAGAATTTAATGTAAAGAGCAAAATAAAATATAATTAAAATTTTACGATATCTATCGAAAACACACCTTGGTTGATAAGAAGCATCATAATGAAAATGAAATTCTTCAGTTTCAACATCCTTTTCAGCTGTAAATGAAAGTATAAAAGTTATAGAATAAAAATGGATAACAAAATAACAATAAATATATGTGGGTTGAGATAATAGAAACCAAGCAAATATTTTTTAATAAATTTTTTAAAAAACTTTTAAACAAGGATAACTTAGCAAAAACTTCATCAAATTTAATAAATTTTTTTTTAAAATTAATTCAACAAGTTTGTAAAAATTTTTTAAAAAAATTTTTTATTAAATTTGGTCAAGGTTTTGTTAAGTTATTCTTGTTTAAAGTTATAAAAAATTTCTATTATAAAAAATTTTCTTGATTTCTATTGACTCACCCTCATATATATCGTAACATACATAATTTTTCGTCCTCGAAAGCAACTAATTCCCGTAATAGACTTTTTTCTTCATCTTCTTTCATGCCCCAGATGACAACAACACCGTAATCAAAGAAAATAACTTCAGGAATTGATTGTTCTTGAGAAGGAATTATTACATCGTCAATGCCTAAAAGATCAGCAGTAGTTGGTGGTTTAGGTGGACGGAAGGAAAACGGAGTATATATGCTATGTAATGGAATAAGATGAATAAGTAAATAAAATCAATCACAAATACATTTTTTTATATATTAAAATATTTTAAAGTTGAAAATATTTTGAAGCATTAAATAACATTTATACGCGTACCACTCATCCAAACGTTTTGGAGCAGCACTATTTCGTATTTTTCGATTTTGAAGATATTTCATTAAATCGTCTAACCGATAAGTTCTGAAAAAAAGTAAAAATAAATCAGTAGGAAGAATATTACTTAAGTTCAATAAAGGATGTAATTCTTTTCAAATTAGCATACGCTGCTGTGCAATAAGCAGTAACCCGTGGAAGTTTAAGTCGTTCTTGTTTACTAAGTCTTTCTGCCTCTCTTCTAGCAGTTCCTTGTGAAAGTTGACCAATCTGATTATGTCTTCCATCACTTGTCTCATCAACAGTAGTAGAAGTTGCTTGATCTTCAGGAAAAAGTTTTAATTTTTGAGAAGTCTTTGTAGTTCTATTGGGCTGTTTCGATTTCATTCTTGTTCTTCCGCCGACTTGAGGTTCAGTTTGTGGATCTATAACCAAAGGCTTTTGAGCGAGAGCTTCTGCAGGAGTTGAAAGTTGTATATAGCCTTGTTGACGTTTCTGCATTGTGTAAATTGACTAAGAAAAATATGTAATTTGGCTGTTTTATTTTATTTCTATATCTATACTATTTACTATATCTATACGTATTAGAAACTTTATCGTTATCGAACCCCGCCAACGACGGAAAATTCGGAAAATTCCACGAACACGTGATAATTACCTAATATTGATGTACATTCTGATCGACCAGTCTGAACACATAATCTTGTATAACGTGATCAAGATTTTTTTGCAATAATACGTTCAGGAACGCCGCAATAATTCTACGTCATGTACAACTTGGGTTTTCCGATTCACTTGGGTGATATTTAATAAAGGTCATAATCAAGATTTTTTTAATAATTACTATAGCAAGATTAGCACACAAAAATACAGGTATAATGCTGTAATGTAATTCTTTCGGTGATGTTTAATAAAGTTCTGCATATACAATATATACATTCGAAGTTTAGGGAAATATTTGAGATGCTTATGTAAACGACAAATATGATCGTGTATTTTTGCCTTGCCACAAGATATCATCACATGCTAACATATCAGATAACAAGATTTCTATCACGAAAAAATTTCGTTATTTTTTTTTTTTATCATATAATATTGTATACATAGAATTCATGACACGTGCCCTTTGGATACTCCTTATCAATACATATTTTTTACAGGAGGATCCCCAAATTTCCGTGTCGGAATGGTCATGGTTAGGGTCGGGTTAGGGTTAGTTATACTGGTTAGCAGGAACTATAGTAAAATTATCAAGTAAAATTATCAGCTGGGCCTTTTATTCTTCTCGGAATTTTGCTGTATAAACATGCCATAGTCATGTGATGTACAAAATAACTAACCAAAAAAAATTTATAATATATACAGGTTTGATTGTCTAGAAAAATTTAAGCGCATACACGATCCTCATCTATGGTATATAGTTTAGTCGCATATTTTAACATAGACTTAGACGAAGTCCAGAGTACTACAGTAGGTGGAATTTCATATTTTTCATGAATTTTGTTAAGAAAATGAGACTTTAGGTTTTTATTATTTATTGGATTTAACCATGAAATCTGATTGGTGATTTAAATAATCTCTGTCAATATCAACCTAGATGCGATTTATTAATGATCGAAATTGAGCTGTTCCTTTAATTAAATCATTAACCTGAAAATTTTGACATTACACTTTGAGCGATATAATAGTGTAGCATGCTGTAGAAAATCTACAAAAATTGCGTTAAAAAATTTGGTTTACAATCAAAGAAGCCTGCAACATATTTACAGGAAGATTACAAATTCCAGTTCTGTATAATGAATAAAAAGAAAATTGAAACGGAGCATTCCCATAACAGCAGTTATAAACAAACTTGAAAAGAATTACAAATACATAAAAATAGAGTTTTTTTTTTATTTTTAAGTTATATCTTTACATTTTAAAGCAAACAAAGGAAAACAAACATTTTTTATTATTTTTAATTATATTTTGCATTTGTACAGTACTATGTAAAAGTTTTTTTTTTTCGAAACTTAAATAATGTTGCAAACTGCTTGTAAAATGATTTTAACATTAATATACTACCTCTTTGTTATGTCTACGTGCCTTATAGAATTGCATCACGTAATTATAAAACAAATACAGAAATAAACACAAAAATCAAAATCTAATCCAAAATTACTCCTCGTAGGCTTAGATCGATCAATGTATTGTTTTTTCGTAAAAAATCACTCGGAATTTTTCCAGTATTATCATCGAGTTGATTTCAGAGAATCCCGAGTAATTTTAGATTATAGCACTTTTTTTAGGCTATTGCACTTTTTAGCCTTCAATTCTCCGGTAATTTAAATAATTAAAATTTAATTATTTAAGTACATATTTAATTATTAAATATGTACGGTATTATCCACTTATCCGAAACTTGAGAAGAACGTTCTCAGTATCATGTAACTGTGGCCACGATAAGCTTTCAATTCTCAGTGGTAATATCTAAGAGGATAAACAACATATCAAGTGAACTTCTAAAGTTATAGTCTAATCTTTAGATAGGAGAGCAGTTATAAGCTCTATGCAAAATAATAATTCAATAAAATAAAATTATTTATACTTTATTGATATCTGAATGATTTTATCTCTTTCTTTACTGCTTGATTCTTCTTTAAAATTTCGTTCGGTCGATATGGAGGCAAAATTGAAGGTCGAGTTTTGTATATCACGATATATAATCTAATCTTTTCTTCATACTTTTTTTTTCATTTTCTTTATTCCTTTTTTTCAAGCTTTTGCAATTCAAATCTGATAATTGTGTGTAAAGTTAAGACATGAAACGAGGGTAATTAAATTAGTTAAAAATATGATAATTAACTAAACATTATATTATTTATTTAATAGTGGATTTATATAAATAGAAATGGCAATGAAAGAACGAAATTATGTTATTTATGCTTTTTTGAGTGAATTTGTACATACTAATCTGCATAGTTAGAAATGTTTTTGGCAAATGATAATTATACAGACTAATATGACTAATACGGACTTTACCAAGGGTGAATTTGTGTATGTGTTGTGTTATAGGTCAAAAATTAAAAGAAAGAAAATGAAAGCAAAAGATTTTTATTTTTTTTTCGAAAAAAAAAAAATCAAAACAATGCGTTATTTAGAGTAGAGACGATGATTTTCTGCGGTGAATAAACCCAAATTCTGCGTGTGATTAATTAAATTTCTGTGATGTGATGTGTTTTTTAAATTTAGAGTGATTTAGGTTATAATTGAAATTACATTAATAATTTGCGTTGGTAATAATAAAAACTTCGAATATTTTATTATACAACCATTATTGTACACTTTGGATTATTTTAGATATCAATCAATTCATTTATTTTCTACGTTGAGACTTTATTTTTGAGATTACTTCCTACTTTCCGTGATATAATTCTGCAGCATTCTGTAAAATGCAGAAAAATTATCATCACTGCAAAATATTCAGCACTGAGATGTGATGTAAAATTTGGGACACCAAAAAAAAAAAAATTTTCTTAAGAATTTTGGTATATAGCTTGTGATAGGATTTTTTTATTAATAGTTATTATTACAATTAAATAATACGATTTATACAATTTGAATAACGATTGTATCTTGGCTGCCCATTATTATGATCCAACACGTTGCGAAGTTCAAATTGCTTCAGAAAAATATAGTAATGATTCTAGTGAAATTTTAGATATATTCAAATATCGATAAAAATATTAAATATAAGACTTACAAGTGTTATTATAATTCTAATTACATTGAGATAACAAATCATGGTGGCAAAGAATCTGTAAAGAGAAAAATAAATAATAATCGAAATTTTAAATCATCACTAATAAAAAATTCATCGATTAAATAATACCGGCATAGGCCTTTGTCATGAAATCTGGAAGACTTTTAAACTTCAAACTATAATATTGCAGTATTGTCGCAGGCAAAATTTCGAAAAAGCCAAATTTTTATTAAAGAAAAATACTAACATATTATGAATCAAAAAAATAAAGCAAAAAAAAAAAAAATTTTAAAAAAATAATCATAAACAACTATTATGCTTCTTTAATATCATACTGGTCTTTAATTTGTTTAATAATTGTTATATGGTTACAGTACAACTACTTCGCTTTAACTCTTCTTACAAGATCTTATAGGCTTTACACTCACGACTTCATGTTATTAGGCTATATTATAATTGAATTTCTTTGTTAGTTTGATTAAGTTTTTACAAATCAAAGACAGCATTAATTACTGAGTTTATTACCAAGTTTAATTGATTTATTGTACCTATCCTTTAAATTGTTTTGCAGCCAAATTTGTCTGCAAACTTTTTTAAATTTTAAATTTTTCTAATAAAATTTTAAATATTGATTTTAGCTATATATTTTCTAAGTAAAATATTTAATTTGAAATTTGTTTTATTAGCTTTGTTAAGAAAATTTTTTAAAATTATTAAAAAACTTTAGCACAATAAAAGTTTAAAGTTTTTGTATTAAAGTTTTTACTATATAATTTCTTCTTTAGATTTTTTAAACTTTATATGTTTTTCGTCTATAAAAAAAACTTTACTCTTAAGACAAGTCTTAAATTTTATTAGTAAATCACTAAAAGTGTAATAATAAAAGTTGTCATCCTATATATAAACTACAATATTGTATTAGAAACTATATTTTTAAAATTAATATTTAAAGAGTTCTTAGTTACTATATATTTATTAACATAGTATTGGTTAGCATTTTATTATTATTATTATTTTTTTTTTGGTTTCAATAGTAATCACTTTATTACGTCTGAACAGTTAAGTACATTACAAGGTAGTACAGTGCCTAGTTTATATATTTCTATATATCCTGGGTCCCTCCCCCCATAGTGTTGCAGTTCCCAAACATAGTACCCCTCATTTATACATAAAGCATCACACAGCTGCTCTAAGGTGCCCATGTATAACTGTTTAACAATGGTTTACCTCCACTTCGGCTCCTAACTTACTATAGAGTTCCCCTCTGGATCAACAGTAGAACATGCTTGCTTAATTGCTGGGGCACCTGTCCCACTCATGTGCCTCACCCAGACTTTATTTTTTTATTTTTTATTTTTTTCAAGGTGAGATCGCTTCTCTAGATATTTTTTATTATGTTAACTGTATATCTATTACATCTATTACAGATATGTAATACAACTAACTTTTTATATATGTCGAGACTAAGGCTATGGTCAACTATCTATATCTGGGAACTACCTTATGCGATAATTCGAAGTATCTCTAGTA